AGTTATGAAGAAAACGTGGTGATAGAAATTACACACGGTAGTTATTGGCCAGTCGGCCATTTTGAAAGAAATGGGTAGTTACAAACAGTTTCTAAACGATTAAAAACTGTCCAAGTCGTATAAAAGAAAGAAGAAGACAACGAAGACGGCCCAGACAAAATTCACTCTCAAACAAAGAATATGTACTTTACTTTTTCTTCAATTAACTTTAATTACTTCATTTCCCTTGTACTTGTGTGCTTGCGCCCCTTGGAGGCATCTTATTCGCGTCCAAACTGTAATCTTCATATTCAATAAACACCACTTTTTGGGACTTTGTTTCAAGAGGTTTGTCCCCTACACAATCGTCTGATCCCTTTTTAATTGTTAGCGAGTAAACGCGCGAAACAAATACAAACATACAAATTACTTTCCAATGTATATCCCAGCGAAATACTCCATGTTCCTCCAATACTCTCCCTAAAGAGTATAACCACTGCAATCTTATATAGCATGTAGGCCCGTGCGAATAATGAAAAATACAAAGGTCATCTTTCTAAGGTATGATCTTACTGCATCTTAAAATATTACTTATAAATACATAGAATGGAATACATCTACATTTAACCATTAAAATACTTTTATATTATTTCTCACACCAACTAATTTATTAACTTTATCTATCTATTTTAGTTATTATTTCAACTGTGTTTGTACTTGTGTAGGTTCTATCCAAAAATGATACATCGACGAATGGGTTTCATTAGGAGGAACAAGAAAAGAACGTTCTCGAATTATGAATCACATCATATTCAAAAACCTTCAAGTCATTTATTTATAGGCTGTCTGGTGTAGCTTTTTATTTGATTTTAAGCGAAAATGGAGCTCTTGAAGAGCCGTCCTTTTTGACTTCCTTGACACACGCTGCATGGAAATGTAGGCTTTAACAGTCAGAAAAGGAATTATCACCCTTTGCAAAGCTACGCCGACAGCCCCTTAGTAAGTTTTCTTCATATGAATGACATATTCAATTAACATCCTGAAACAACTGCACAAATAGAAGCTGGATTACAAGATCTAATAATATCTTTATTTGTATGATATACCATGATTATTTATAATGTCCATAATAATGATCTACTTGTTTAAATCTATTCTTGCCTAATAGAATTAGAAATCTAAATGTGCACATTTCTCATTTGACCTAAACATTTAACGTGCATCTTTTGTAATGTTACATGTACTCTTGTTTATGCTTACACACCCATGCTATTTTTTTTTAGCATCAAAGCTCTATGGACGAATACTTTATTATATACTCAACTATTTTTCCTTCCAAAAACCTTCTGCTATATGAGATAAAAGACACTTCTTAATCTTAATGACTTCATATGCGTGAGATAATTTGCAATCTTCCACTATATTAACCAATTGTTTTTTATTAGATATTCTACTAACTAAATTTAATTGTTCTTGCAAATTTTCCCAAAGAAAGGAAAGAGTTGGAACGAGCTTGTAAGTTAATAGTTTTAGCTTATGTGTACTCATAGGACTATCGAAGATTTATTTTATGAAATAGTGTAGAGTTATTTCTATGTAAAATTACCAGGTCGATGAAATTAGTTCTTGCTTCGCATTTCAGCTTGCGTCGGTTTCATTTCGTTCGCATGTCCTATAACTATCAAGTCTATGAAAAGAACAAAATACTTTATTCTAAGGTTCTATTTTCTCCACGAGTTAGGTATCTATAGTTTGAAATTAAAGCACATCTCTGTTTCATTTTTTATAAACATGAGGTTGAAGGAAAAATAAAAAACAAATTCCTTCATATTAGGGTGCAATTTATCAAACAAATATGATACAAGATAATTACCACAATGCCTTCAATTGTCTTTAACCTGAGCAATTAAATTCTTGCAAACCTTTAATAGTTATTGTTACACTATGAAGTTAAAATAAGGTTATTCATCTAGCTTCACATAAGCTTGGTACTTTGCCTATTTTTTCTTTCACCGAAGCTTCTATGAGTAAAATACTCCATTTGCTTCCCAAAAACTCATTTTAACACCCATATCATCCCAAGCCGCTAAATGTTTCCTCTTTTTGTTATCCTTGATCGCCCACCCACACAAATCTGCAGTTCCTCCTATCTATTTCCTGGTTTATGGCTTCCGGAATACGCGTTGTTTGCTATGGTGTATACAGGTATAGCAGAGGTT